CCGACGAGGGTGAGACGAGCGTCGTCGTCGTAGTTGTGAAGCTGCCGACCGGGGTACGTTGCCGGGTGGATCGCACGTAAACCAACTCGCACCGTAACGGTAGAATCAGCGCAATGGCTGCCGTGTAGAACCGCGGAGCCGCGAGCCACGTGCCATCCTCCCGAACTTGGGAATTATTAGCAGTCGCATTCTGAGAGACCGAGTAAGGAAGGTAATATTCGCTGCAGAGTGGAAGTAAATTAGAGTCGTGTGTAGAGAGGGCCGAGTCGCGCTCGTTCCTTTCGCCATGGGAGAGTCACTGCCGGTTTTCGAGTATAGTAGAGTCGCGTAGAAACGCGTAGAGTAGCCACGTTGTCGAGTCTCGTCGTGTCGCGTAACGACGCTTATTGCAGTTGCGTTCTCGTTTGGTATCGCGTCGCGTAGGCACGCTTGCTATAATCGCGTCGCCGAGTGAACTTCCGGTTGCGGTGTTACTGAGTAGAGTCCGTTTCCGGGATTCACGTGTCGAGTAGAGGCGTGTCGCATCGAGGCGGGCGCTATAATCACGTCGCACCATCGCCATGGCGCCGGCCACGGGCCGGCGTTACATGTCCGGGAGTCTGGTGGTACAGCGGGTACGGGTTCTTGCCGGTTGTCGAGGGGTGGGCGTTTGACACCGTCGGAAGATACCGCGGGGAAGGTCGGGGTTCGGGCTGTAGCGTATGACCGGCGTCCGGCGCTAGAAGTAAGTTAGCGACTCTCGGTGCGAGTACCGAGGGTATCGAGTAGAGCGGCGGATCGGAGCTCCGGAAGAAACTTGTAATTGCGGACTCCATGTAATTAATTCTATTTTATCATATTTTCTCAAATATAATTGTTCTTATTATTACGCTCTCGCGTAGTTTATTCTTGTGGCCTATCTCTCTCGCCCTCCGACAAATTTCCCACCCCCTTGTGACCCACCCCCTGCCATCGCGAAAACGTTACGGGCAAAAGTAAGGAGATTTCGAAAAGAGTGGCACGCTCT